TGCGACGCCGTTGACTGCTTTATTGTACATAATTCTACCACGAACAGAATACCGTTCGGTTGAGGAGCGGTATTGAGACGACAAGCTTTTCAAAGCTTGACTGCATGGATTGGCTACATAATTTATCAATCGCAGAATATGTTCATCTTCTGCGTATGCTTTTCGCACATCGTCGAGCAGATTCAGCGACGGAACACTCACTGTTAGAGTCGCTACAGCGGGATCACCCATACTGTTGGGTTGAGCAGCTGGCTCAAAATTGGGCCGACGCGAAAGAGCATCAGCGACAACATTAAGTCGTCCTGTTTATACTCGACGGAGAAGTTGTACTCCGCGAAGAAAGACTGCCACCTCGCCATTCGTTGCGAGAGGTGCGGACTGTCTACGGCCGTGCGTAACGACGCATGGTCGGTATGAACGAAGCAGGGCCTATCTCGTAAGAGATATACCCGAAACTTAGCCAGTGCATATTTCATGGTAAGGAGTACCTTGTCATGCACCGGGCAATTACGCTCAGCTGCTTGCAGCTGACGCGATAGATTACAGACGACGCGCTCAACACCGTCTGAGTCGTACTGCATTAACGCGCAGCCGATTACAAAATCGCTGGCGTCACAGACCACATGGAATGGTCTGTCCTGTTCTGCAATCGCCAATACAGACAATTGCACCAAGCTAATCTTGATAAATTCAAATGGGGTGCTGACACTCAGCACTCCATGACCACCTCTCGTTTTTCTTTAGCAAGCGAGAGAGATGTACGGTCATATCGGCGTAGTTGCGCGAGTACTTGCGCAAGTACGCCACCAAGCCGAGGAACTTTAAAAGTCCCTTGACGTATATTGGCACAGGCCAGTCGATAATCGCCTCAATCTTCTTTTCTGGATCAGGGTGTACCCGTTATTTTTCACGATGCAGCGAAGAAGTGGTATTTCGCTGCAGCGTATATACACTTCTTGAGGTTGGCATCTTATTTATGCTTTTGCGTAAGTGTAAGAACTCGACAAAATTATGTTCTTTAAACATCTACGTCCGTCTCCCCGCCCACAGCCCACCTATGGACAAACACATCGCCATTTTAAGCTCGGTGTAAAATCGCTCACCTGTCTCAAGCTTTTCCACACATCTGTTAAGCGTTACACGATCTTTACTCAGCCCCTGTGGCATCAATAGCCCCTCTCAGAGCATATCACTGGGGGTGCTCACTGCTGTTTACAGGATATTCCGCTCGCGCATAAGGATACAATAGATACCACTCATCAGATCCATGGACGTAATGATGGTACTATTTGAAATAAGATCAATGATGACGTCCTTCCTTGGCTCGGTGTCTGAGTTGGTACTGTTGCAGCATTCAATCTGTTTAATGACTGCACTATCCGCCACCCTCCTGTGACCTTTCGTAAACATAAGGTCGGAGAGCTGTGTGGGGATGTTGATTCCCTCACATGACCAGCCGCTAATCGATCGGCAAATAATTTGTCGATCGCTGTGACCTGTTCACGAGGCAGTAGCCACTGCTTCATAACACAGCATTTCGAATCAGGTTTCAGTTCGATCTCATGCCGAGTGCCTTTGTCCTTGGACAGCTCGCGTGGCACGGATTCCGGGAAAACATCCTTTAATTCAACCAAATCCTTATACAAAGGATTTGTCGTTAAGGACTCCCAAGATTGAGACGTGTATCGCTCAATCCGGGTCTTCTCATCGAGGACACTTTTGTCCATCGATGAGCTACTAAGAACCCCTTCGTTCTTAGAAAGCACTTGTGCCGACCGAATATCGGCAACGTACTCGTCTTCTGTGACGAGTACGCAGGTCTGTTTGATCTTGTCACTACGCAGATCTCGCAAGGATCTTTTAGATTCTAGCGTTGGCAACTAGATTACCTCCGAATCTGAGCTCGGAGGTGTAACCAGATCAAGTGTCTAAGCGCCTTAACTTTATCCGTCCATGACCAAGACATTCACTGTCTTGGTAAATTACTGGGAAAACGCATCCGCATGTGGTTAAGGATTTATACCCATAAAACAACCTCTCTTGGACGTTATCACTCTCAGGAACGCTGGATCTTTTCTACAATACGTGTACTGACTGTGGGTGCACTACTAAAGTCACGTCATCTTCGATTGACTCTCTGATAGTCGACCTTGCTTCAACGTGTTGTTCATCCTAAAAAACGCTGATAAACCTTCTCAAATGCACCCTTCTTGGTTACCAATCGTGTTCCAGTCCACTCGATATCTTCGAGTGGTGAACCTTCGGCGCAGCCTGTGTCTCTAATAGGTGCCGAATGCTGGTTCTACAATGTAGAGGCATTCTACGCTGTAATCTTGTGCAGTCATACTAACGATTGAATCACAAGTGAGGCCATCGCACTCACTCGTAGTACATCCCCACGCTTGAGGACGCTCCAAGATGTTCATTAGATGTCCATCTGATGAACAAACGGCAGGCATCTTCACAGATTGATGCTGCCAGCTAATCCATGGCTGGTAGTTACTAAGACATGGCAGACCGAGGATGACATCACATTTGCCATCTAAATATAGTACGATGGAGTCATCATTGTACAGCTTTCATTCTAGCGTGTAGTGGATTCTCACTACACGTTTCTTCACTGTCACGGATGCGCCTGTTGCAAGTCACACCGTCATCCTCGTTGGAGTAAAATCTCGCTCAACATACTTGAGTCTACTGTCCTCTAGCGACTGGTGTCGAATGAAACTATTCGACTTCCCACAGTCAACCAGGGCGCGAAGTGACATACCACTTGTCACTTCGATCTTTAAAGTGATGAGAGACACCTCATCACAAGGGGCAGTAACACACAGCGACTGTGTGTTGGAAGCAATCTTCGTCAATAGACCTGCAAATTATATTGACGTTGCTGGATCAGCACGGTGCCCCACCCCTACTGACCCTGTCCGTTTTTGGCGGTCTGACTTGCTGTCGTGGTTCAGCGACATGGTCGGACCCGCGCCTTGGACCTTTCCTCGGCCAATGGCGGTTATCACGTCCTGTTTTTGAACGTGTTGCAGTGCTTGGGACACTACACTCATGAGCGTAGTGTCCAATCTTCTGATAGCGATGGCATCTTGCCGTTCGCTTGTGACTCAGAGAGCGAATGTTCTCGCTCTCGATATAATAGAGGTCCATTGGTTCGAGACCTCCTGTTTCCTGTCGTCTCGTCGTACGATAGCATGACGAGTTAGCCTGAGACTGTCTCAGGCTGAAGTCTTCTTATTCCGCATACATTATCGACTTTTCCAGCGTATGGAAGTCTTCTCGGAACATGTGGGTCTTTACCGTTCCACCTACAAGACCGTTGACGAACACATTGATGAGCGTATGCTCATTAACAGGGTTTCCTCGAAGCTACTTGCAAGGTAGCGTAGGTGTTGTTCATAAGCGTGCACATCTAGCTTACCTTGCTTGAGCCTCAGGAGTGCAGAGCGTGCTCTGAACTCGGCTCTTGGCGGCTCAAACATTTCTTTGAGCCGAGACCACAAGATCTCCAACGACCGAAACACGTTTGGGTCGTGAAGCTTGAGCCCCAAATCTTTGCTCTTCCTGTCAAATTTGACAGGGCGAAGGTGACTTGCATCTCGTCACCCTCGATGTGACGGGACCTGATGGCGTCGTCTAACTAGACGAATCATCTCAAAGGGGAATCTTCATCCGTCGCCTTGTACCTTGAGATATCTGTCTTCAAGGTTTCGGGTTGACGCATGTGCGTCGGCCCGCCCATCGACTGATGAGAGACTTGCTGTTGTAGCAAGGCTGTCTTCTGTCTTTCGACGGCAAGTTCCCCTTGTAGGAACTTGTTGATAGCAGCATGTTGCTGGTAACTGTTTAGAGACTCCAACACGCCACTGATGGCGTGTTCGCCTATGAGAATGCTCATGCGGCCGACTATCTCCCATTCTGAGTCACTCAGATGAGAGTAGCCTTCACGTGTGACGTGTAGGCTGTCCTACACGTCACACGTGAAGGCTTCTAGTCTTCTACGTTCAACATGTTCATGTTAGACGGATACAAAGTAGTCGTTGGACGGACTACGAAGTGCTACCAGGTGTAGAGAGCCACTCTTTGTTTAGGGTGCCACGAAACTTCACGTACACTAGTAAGTGCAGAGGAAGCTAATCCACCCAGACAGCTAGTTCGGGTAGAGGGTAAAAGAGAACCGTTTTCAACATAGTTAAGCTATCAATGTAAATTTACTCTATATCTAACTATATTAATATACCTTGTAGTATGAGGACGACCTGCTCACCACTGATTATGCGCGTCTAGCAGCGATTAATGGTAATCTTGGTTGATATGTCTTTATCAACCAATCTTTGAGCAGCGCAAGAATATTATCCTACAAGGGGATAATGTTCCTTCAATATTATCCATCTCGGGTAATCATGACAGGGAATTGTCACGCAAGACAATCCCCCTTTTGCCACCCTTTGGTGTCAATATCATGTAACGGTCTGCCCCGTTGCACTCCCAATAAAATGTGTCACTGTAACGGGGTGAATCGTTACATAACAATTTATAAGAAATTGTTAATAGAATATAACTATAAGAGTTATATTCTCAGAATATTGTCATAAGGACAATATTCTGTAGCACTTCCAAGTAGTTCCTAATTGGTTGATATAGGCCATTATATCAACCAACGAAGACGCGCCACGACAGACGCACGCAATGAGTGGTGAGCAGATAACTGATTTACACATTTGTATTTAGACATAGTTAGATGAAGATAAATAGTGATTTATTGCAGACATTAACTATTATAAATACAGTTCTACTTTTTACTCTAACCGAGTACTCGCTTCTTCTTACCGTCTTCCTCTGCACGTACGAGTGTACGTGAAGTTACGAGGCACCGCCTTATTCTGTTATCAGAATAAGTAGCTTGTACTGTCACCAGTACAAGCTTCAGGGTGCCCCGTTACACCTGGTAGCACTTCGTAGTCCGTCCAAGGACTACGTTCACATCTAACATGAATATGTTAGATGATGAAGATGACCAAAGCTTTCACGCTACGCGTGCCGGCTACTCCCATTTGAGCAATGTCGAATGGGATGCGGTCGAACGAATGGGTTCAACCATGGGCATCCATGCTGTTAGCGTCATGCTAGAGGCTCTCAATAGAGATGCCCAACATGCTACTATCGCCAAGTTCATTCAAAATGAACTTGACGCTGAACGCGAGAAAGTAGCCTTGCTTCACCAACAAGGTTCTCAACAAGCAGAGTTGTTGAGAGAACAGGGTGCTCAACAGTTTGAACTGTTGAGACAGCAGCAGGCTGCTGCTGGTGGGTCGATGCACTCGCGTCGACCCGAGACCTTGAAGATTGACATCCCCAAGTATAGGGGAGTCGAAGAGGACTCCCTCCTGAGATGGTTCGTCGAATTGGATGACGCCATAAGGGCGCGTCGCATCGACGATGGGGAAATGCAAGTTGCATTTGCCCAGTCAAATCTGGCAGGACGTGCCAAGACTTGGGCTTTGGGGCTCAAGTTGCACGACCCATATGCGTTTGGGTCGTTAGAAGTCTTCAAGTAGCAGCTCAGACAAACGTTTGAACCACCTAGAGCTGAGTTCAGAGCTCGAACTGAACTCTTGAAGATTAGACAAGGTAAGCGTGATGTGCACGCTTACGCGCAACATGTCCGACATCTCACGAGTTGTATAAGTTCCAACCCGGTTGATGAACACACGTTGGTTTCGGTGTTCATGCAGGTCTTGCGGATGGTCCCGTCAAGACTCACATGTTTCGACTTGAACTAGATTCACTAGAACAAGCCATTTCCATTGCGGAACAGGAAGACTTCAGTCTGAGACAGGCCCGCGCCAGATCGACATCATATCGTCAACCGAGACGATATGACAGCGAAGGTCCAGAGCCGATGGAACTCTGTTATGTAGAGAGCAAGAAGGCTCGCTCTACAGACTACAAGAAGTTGCAGAAATGCAACAGATGTCAAAGTACAGGACACTACGCTTACGAGTGTAGTGCCCCTCGTTCAGTGTCTCGCAACACTGGGCGTAGTGACCGTCCACCCATGAGAAAGGGGCAGGGACGCGGGCCCGCTGTTGGTGCAAAGACGCAACAACGGGATGGACCGTAAAAATACTGACAGGATCAGTTGGTGCGGAGTACCTTACTGGTACAGCAACGTCAAGAGAATTTGCAGGCTTCTTGACGAAGGTTGCTCCCAAGACACAGACATTGTGCGTTGCTGCTCTAGGTAATGAGATCTCACTCATTACCTTGAAACTCGAAGTGACGAATAAGTTGTCCCTTCGAGCTCTAGTCGACTGTGGGGCGTTCAACAATTTTGTGCAACGCCAATCGCTAAAAGATGGTCACTTTAAGTTTAGTGAATGTGACACACCTCCTACGAGGATGACGGTACGTCTTGCGACAGGCGCATCCGTAACCGTCATGAAGCGTATAGTGAAGATTCACTATACGCTAGAAGATACCCAATACGACGATGACTTTATCGTATTGGATTTGGATGACAAATTTGATGTCATCCTTGGAATACCGTGGCTCAGAAGGTACGAACCACGGGTAAACTGGCAACATCGGACAGTAACGATGCCTGCCGCTTGTTCATCAGATGGCCATCTGAAGAACGTTTTGGAGCGTCCACAAGCGTGTGGATGTACTACGAGTGAGTGCGATGGCCTCACTTGTGGTACGGTCGTTAGTACGACTGCACAAAACCTTAGTGTACCAAACGGTTACACTTCGGAGCAAAGTTCCGGCGGCTGTGAGGGAAACACAGGCTGCGCCGAAGGTCCACCACTCGAATAAGTCGGGTGGACTGGGACAAAGATGTATCCCTAGAGGGGAACATCTAGAAGAGAAACAATCGATCGCTCAGGTTAAGCGAAACGATAATCCTAGATCGACTGGAGAGTCTTTCGTAGAGGATCTCGCTGTGGTTGCGCAACCCCAGCTAGAGGAAGTAAAGGGAATAAGTCCCAAGATTACAAATACGGCGGAAATAAGTTCCCCGAAACCCGCGGGAATAAGTCCCCGGGAAGACGAAGGAATAAGTCCTTCGAAGCCTGAGGGAATAAGTCCCCAGGAAATGACAGAGACATTGAATGTCATAGTCAATAACGGATCATGTGTAGGCGCTTATACACTTGATCTGATTGCGCCTCCGAAGTTAACTTCGGAGATCACTCAGTTGCCAACGCTCGAACATAAAAGATTCTTGCGTGATCTGCGTAGTGGCAAAGTCAAGCAGATCTGCATACTCGTCGCTGAAGACGAGTATGTAACCGACATAAGGTCAGCAACAGTGTTTACTGAGAACGAGAGAGTTCTCAGTAGTTCATCTATGGACGAGAGTGCCCTCGATGAAAAGACACGAATTGAGCGATATGAGTCCCAATCATGGGAATCGCTCAAGGAAAATCCTCTCTATGAAGATTTGGTTGAATTCAAGGATGTATTCCCTGAAACTGTTCCGTGCGAATTACCGAAGGATAAAGGTATTCGACACGAAGTCGAGCTTAAACCAGGCTCGAAGTACTGTGTCATGAAGCAGTGGCCACTGCCTCGTGAACAAGTACTTGCGATCGACAAGTTCTTTGCCGATCGTTTAGCAGCGGGCCATGTGAGGGAATCAACTTCCCCACATAGCTCTCCGACCTTCTGTGTGCGAAAAGCAACAGGAGGGTGGCGGATAGTGCACGCGTTTAACAAATTGAACGCTGCAACGGTACCGGCTCAGACGCCGATACCGAGGAAGGACGTAATCATTGATGGTATGTCAAAGAGTACCATCTTTTCGTCCATGGATTTGATGGATGGCTTCTATCAAATCCTTATGCGGGAACGGGATATGCCCTATACCGCAGTTAGCACGCCTAGCGGCATGCTCTGGGAATGGCTAGTAATGCCACAAGGGCTCAGTAATGCCCCTGCCACGTTCAACAGGTGTGTATCACATCTGTTGAGGCCAGTACGAGAATTCGCGCCGAGTTATTTCGATGACGTATTCATCCATAGTCGAGCTATGGATGGAAAGTCGGACGTTGAGGTTCACAAGTACCACGTCCGACAAGTTCTTACAATCATGCGAAAGCATCAATTGTATGCAAACCTCAAGAAGTGTATATTTGCAGCAAGCGAAATACCACTTCTTGGGTGCATCGTTGGTAAGAACGGTGTACGTCCTGATCCCGAAAAGATCAAGGCGATCACCGACTGGCCCGTGCCGGTCGATGTCAAAGGTCTTCGAAAATTCCTTGAGCTAGCGGCGTATTTGCATAAGTATTCACGCAATTACGCCGAGATGACTGTACACCTCTCTCGTTTGTTGAAAAAGAACGAGAGGTGGTTATGGAACGCTGAATGTCAACGCTCCTTTGAGGGTATCAAGCAGAGCTTGATACAATCCCCAGTCCTAGCAATAGCCGATCAGGACAGGCCATTTCATGTGGTCTGTGATGCCAGCGATTTCGCAATCGGCTGTGCATTAATGCAGTACGACCTTGAAGGCGTTGAACGCGTCGTCTGCTATCAGTCGCGTCAGCTGCAACCAGCTGAGCGGAACTATCCAGTGCATGAAAAGGAACTCCTTGCCATGAAGTATGCACTCGCGAAGTTCAGAGTCTATCTATTAGGAGATAGACCCTTCGTTGTTTACACTGACCATGCGTCCTTACGCACGGCAGTGAACAGCCCGCACCTTTCACAACGAATGGCGCGGTGGTTGTCATTCTTTGCAGAATACAACTTTACGGTCGAGGACAAACCAGGACGACTTAATGTCGTCGCTGATGCACTCCTCACGTCGTCCCGACTTTGAAACAGTCGCGAAACCCAACAGTGAGACAGTCACTGTTGCGGTTATGACGTCCTCAGTTCCATCTACAACGTTGTATGATGATGTGAGGCGGGCATACGCCCAAGATGGTGAGATAGTGAAGTTGTTGTCACATCTCTCCCAACCATCTCGAGAATCGTTGAAACGATTGTCGTCTGCGTATCGATCTGCATCAGATCGATACACTACTCGTAACGGTTTACTGTACTATACAGCCGTTTCTGGTGACACACCACGTGTTGTCATTCCAGATGATATTGATCTGCGTTTGCGGATCATGTTCGAGTACCACGATGCTCCTATAGGAGGACATCGTGGCCGAGAGAAAACATATCTCACGGTGAGTCGAGACTTTTACTGGCCCCGCCAGTATCAGTTTGTGCGAAAGTATGTTCGCGCATGCGAAGTCTGCCAACGAGTGAAGTCAAGTCCTTCACTGCGTGCACCTTTACAGCCTCTACCGGTTCCGGCTGAGTGCTGGGAATCCATCTCAATGGATTTCGTCTTCGGGTTACCCAAAGACGCACGCGGGAATACGGGTATTCTCGTATTTGTTGACAGACTCAGCAAAATGGTACACCTTGTGGCTGTACCAGAGACAATCACGGCAAGTGGCTGTGCTTGTGTCTTTATTGACACCATCTTCCGACTTCATGGGTTGCCCCGTGAACTCGTATCAGACAGAGATCCACGATTCACTGCTGATTTCTGGCGTTCCGCGTTCAAATCACTCGGAACGCGCTTGAAGATGTCTACATCTGATCATCCAGAGTCAGATGGTCAGACGGAACGTGCCAATCGTGTCCTTGAAGAGATACTTCGAGGATACGTACACTCCTTTAAGAGTTGGAGTGAGTTTTTGCCGATGGTAGAGTTTGCCATCAACAACTCGGTGCATGCGTCCACGACACATACACCGTTTTACGTGAATGGCTTGCGCCATCCGCGTGTACCCACCTTACTAGAGTGTGACTCTGGTTTAAGGGGGGGAGGGACTCGCGCGAGCAAAAACCGATTTGGTTCACGCTCATCACGCTCTGACGAAGAAGTCATTGCGTTTGATGCCGATATCGATAACATCGATATCGAAGAAGATGATGCCAGTGAGAGTGCGGAAGCCCTCACTGAAGACAATGATCCCAGTGAGAGTGCGGAAGCCCTCACTGAAGAAAAGGTTGTTGTCGCTGCAGTGCGCTCACAGCACACTGAAGCTAACGAGTCATCAGATGAGTTCATACTGGCTCGTGAAACGGTAGTCCGTTTTGTGCAAGACTCCATCGCCGAAGCGGTGGATAAGCAAAAGCAAAACGCTGACAAGAATGGAAGGGCAAACACTCTTTTATTTAATAAAGGTGACTTAGTCCTACTGTCTACGGTTAATCTACCAAAACATGTAGTGACTAACTTGGGTAGCAGTAAACTACTACCCAAGTACATTGGCCCATTTCTTGTATTGCACCGCCTAGGCAATGCATACACGATCGAGTTGCCACGTAAGATGCGAACGCATCCCACGTTTTACGTTGGTCGGCTTAAGCCGTACCATCAGTACGCTGCTTCTTCCGATGAAGAACGCCCTTGCGCTCAAGCATCTCGCAGAGAGCCTTGTGCTCCCGATGGTGGGCATCAACAAGGGTCTGAAGAGCAGTTATCTCAGCCCGAGACCGATCAACAATCCCACGAGCTACCCTTAGCTCGTCACGAAGAGATGTCAGAGATCTCTCGTTCTCAAGCTGAGCAAAGGCAAACTCAGCTCGATGCTTCGAGGCAGTGTCCACCATCTGGAGACGCCTATTTCGCTCATGCTCGAGATCGTCGCGTAACCCTTTGCGTTACGCGATCAAAGAAGCTCTCGGGAACACACCGATCCACATGATCGTGTGGAGAGCGTCTTTCCTCCTCCTCCACCTCCATTAGAGGACTCTCGCGGTGGCCAGCGCTATCTAGTAGAGCAGCTGTTGAACCACCGCGACGTGAACGGACGTCGGACGAGTTACCTCGTCCGGTGGCGCGGCTATCCCCCGTCCTGGGATTCTTGGGAGCCCCGCTCCCAATTGATGGTTGACGTACCGGGTCTGGTCGAGCAGTACGACGCGACACATCCTGTGCCGCAGAAGGACCGCCGGAGAAAGTCTTCCCGGCACGGTCGTAAAGGGATTTCAGGTTGTCAATCCCTTCGTACATCTCAGTAGAGACACGTACGCGCCACCACGGGCTAGTAAGGAGGTAAGCCTCCTTAGGTGCTCGTGCAGAGTTGTTCACACAACATGGGCACGAGTCTCCCCAAGAGAGGCAGGGTAATCCTTTCTCCCTTGACAGACGATGCAGCTTATAGCGTGCACCTGTCGGGGTTCGCTTTTCAAACTTATCACGAGCTTTGATAAGTTTGTCGTTCCAAGCGTCACGACCTACATCCTCGAGATTATGGATGTAGGCGTTCCACGCCTGAAGTAGTGAGGGACCATCACGTTTGTGATTCCCACTGTACCATCGATGTCTGAAGAAAGCATCGATGAAGAACTCATGTTCAGCGCGATAGTCCTTCGCGCTGGGGTCGAGAGTGATGAATCCTCGACGAATCGAACAATCGGTGTTCGATAACGATCACTCGTCGTCGCCGACAAGTGATCCATGACAGATTTAGGAGGCATCCATGCCTTCTTTTTCTGGAGCGAGACGCAACACATTGCGGTCCCGCTCTTCCTGCGACGTGCCGACAGAAGTACTGGCACCTCGCTGTGAAGTGGTGTCCATTGGAGAAACGACACCACTATTAGCGCCCGAGTCTCGCGACCTCGAGCGCCTTCGCTTCGGCGATGGTTCATCTGACTCATCAGATGAACCAAAGATGCTGCGACGCAAAGCATCGTCCATGCCACGCTTGGCAGGCGGCTTGGATTCAATTGCCGTCGATACGGATCCGTCATCCGTATCAGGAGAGTACGAGACACCGAGCTCGTACTCTGTGAAGACACGAGTGTCTTCATGACCAGCGCCTGCATCACCAGGTGATACAGGCTGAGTCGATTCAGCAACCGATGGGACATCAGTTGCTGTAGTTTCTGCTTCGGCGTCCGCACAGAGACGTGCAGACGCGCTCTCGGCGGCCTTGCTCGCGCATCGCATGGGCTTGTTTACCATGCGATGAGATGTTGGAAAGTGGACGCGGACCAACAAGTGCAAACCCCGTCCCAAATGATTTGGGACGAATATCCATTTAGTCAATCAGTCACTAAAGTGACTGATGGTTAAGGGGGGGTGATGTAACGGGGTGAATCGTTACATAACAATTTATAAGAAATTGTTAATAGAATATAACTATAAGAGTTATATTCTCAGAATATTGTCATAAGGACAATATTCTGTAGCACTTCCAAGTAGTTCCTAATTGGTTGATATAGGCCATTATATCAACCAACGAAGACGCGCCACGACAGACGCACGCAATGAGTGGTGAGCAGATAACTGATTTACACATTTGTATTTAGACATAGTTAGATGAAGATAAATAGTGATTTATTGCAGACATTAACTATTATAAATACAGTTCTACTTTTTACTCTAACCGAGTACTCGCTTCTTCTTACCGTCTTCCTCTGCACGTACGAGTGTACGTGAAGTTACGAGGCACCGCCTTATTCTGTTATCAGAATAAGTAGCTTGTACTGTCACCAGTACAAGCTTCAGGGTGCCCCGTTACAGTCACTGAGCTTGAGATTTCTAAACACCGGAACCGTTACATGACAATGTACAAATGCTTCGTTTCTAGACTAAAGACTTCTTCCAGCACTCCATCGATCCCGCGGGAATTCCACTCGTGCACGTTTTGATCTTTTAAGTGTGACTTGATAAGGCTACCAAAGACCGAATATATCAACCCTATTTTTTATGGCAGATAGGCTTTGCTGAGATGATCGGGAAGACCGGAAATAAAACATTAACGACGATTCGTCACTTCAATCAGAACAGTGTCCATTGGCCACGTACATCTTGAACGAGCTTCTTCTTCGCTTTGATAGATTAGTAGCCGGTTAGTAAATGTCGGAGGGCTGCAGTATACTTTGGCACGCATGGGACACACAAGGCAAGAGGCAGGAAGGCACCATTCTGTGCGTAGAGTGCTGAAAAGTGACGAGTCAAACGTACCGAGAATGATTCTTAGGGCTTGCTGTTTTAGTCATGCTAATGCGTATGATGTTTACTTTCTAGTGGACGGCGTTTTGCCCTAATTTAAGGCTGCGCAGATTTCTTGTGCGCACAACTTGCAAGCCATATCAGCAGTAGTGAGGTTAAATAAGCAAGCGTAACTACCTCGAGCATGCAATGCACGCTTGATGCTAACACAAGCAACTACAGTCGCCTTTGTTCAGTGGAAGTTCTTGCAAACCTTTTCCCTTACAATAGCGCATATAGTTGGTGAGGATCGGTGAGTGCGGACTTTTGTAGCTACGTGCACGATGTCATAAATGCAAGATCAGACCCACACAAGATCAGGGGTGGTAGTTCCACCATTTATAAATGTACTAGTATCAGGCCCAATTTTGGAGGCGGACCTACTGTTCCGTCGTCACTTTACCCATCAGCGACAGAACGTTAGCATCGCCTCGATTTAGTTGAGTACTTGTCATTACTATGATCGCTGATCTCTAGGCTTTGTGTTCAATGTATCTCAAACTCACGACATAGTACATAGTGGCTGAATGAGAGCTTGTCGTTACGAGCCTCTAAGGAGAGGTGAGACGGGGTGTCAGTTGGGACCATAATCCTTCCCAACCAAACTTGTTGCGAGCCTACATTTGAAGCACCCGCGTGCCTTGCTGCTCGATACAGCAGGGGGAGGAAAGGCGCCAAAAAAGACAACGAGGCGATGATTGCGGCGCGGGCGGTCTACCTTCCGTGTGTGCGCGTTGCCAATGCAGCAGCATACCGCCCGACACGTCGCTTCTATTTTCTTTGGCTCCATGCGGCTTTGCATGAGACTAGGAGCTGAGGCTAATACCAATTTGAAGGGGGCGGCGACATTTAGGAATGGTTCCTACCCACATATGTACTAACATTCAGGACGTATCTCCAAATACAATACCTCGACGGCCTTCGAGGTGGCCATTCAAAGACCATCATTTTGTCTCCGCTACCACAGATTTGACATGATGTGCAACGTCGGGGAGGACAGGGTGCACCTTTTCTATGTTGCCAGCGCAAGTTATTACGAAGAAAGCGTGTCGGATAGGCAGTTGTGTATGTTTGCGGGAAAAGAGTCGGAAGAGCATGTTATAAATACTTCGGTTTGAATCCGCCATAGAGAGCGTGATGCAGCCAACGACTGTGATTGTTACAATCGAGGAGACCATTTACGTCGTGTTTGCATCAACCCTATTGCTCGGTGGGCACAAATCAGTTGTCCACCCTTGCTCTAAGCTAGTGCGACCATCGCACATTCAGTGTGAAATGTGACGGATGTAGCCGACACGTGGTCAGATCACGAAAGCAGGAATGATGGTAACAACAGACAGTGCGGCACTGCGCGAGTTAAAATGCAAGTCAAACATACAGGTCCCGCTTCTCCTGCCTTTTAGGGATCACAGGCATGTCCTCACACGGTATGTCTGATACTTTGTTGAAGTCGTTCTGGAAACTCCCTTGCTTTTGCAAGCGCGGATAGGCGACATGGTACGAGATCTGTGGATCCGGCTGGCAGACGACAGGACGACGTCGCTCGATCGTGCTCGATCATAGAGGAAACTACGTGACTGACTGAGGTCCCACTCCTATTTATAGACACATGACATAAACACGACGTCACCAACCTTTGACGCGACCGTTTCTGAAGCCGTTTCAAACGATGCGTTTTTCCACCACCGAACGCCGTGTTCAAATGCTGCTGTTCTAAGATATATTCAGCTCAAGAGACATCGGGAACGGCGACTCATGCGTCCGTATCGCAATGTATATGACGACATCGTATATGGCTAAACGGTTGCGACCTCAATGAAGCATACAGTAAAAGCAACCGACCGGCTGTGCTTTTTTAGTAACTTGTCGGTAATCAAGCCATAACGGCTGTTGCAAACGACCAGGACGACAACAACGACGCACGTGGCGCAGAGTCTGCCCCAGACTGTGTCCATGGAACCCCGCGTGGATGCTGCGTCGGCTACGACGAGCACCCACTTCGCAGAATGGCAACATCCCCATCGTTAGCAGCAGTTTGTAGCAGTAGTCGTAAAAAAAAGGAAGCGTACAACTACTTCCTCCTTTGTGGTAACATATCAGCCAACTTTTCCTGCACTTCGATCGAAACGTGGTGTTGCAAAGTGTCGCACGGCTGCGTCAACCTCCTATGCTGCATATTGACCCTCTCGTGTTGCATGTTGCCTTTCCGTCCTCGATGACTCTAGATACTTGAATACGCGCGCAATTGCGCACCACCAGAGGCAACCACGAAAGGCAACGGCAACGGCAACATGGCCTTGAACACGAGCCGCTTCGTTGCAGGCCCCGACTTCTACAACTATGACATGTACGGCGGCTTACGTCCTGGCGGCCTCGTCCGTTTCTTTTCCACCGTCTTTGCTGGCCTCGTTGCCGCCACGTTTACGTCATCATTCATCTACATTGGCGCGCGCTATGGGCTCTTGCCCATGGTGAGTCACCAACTTCAACTTAGCGGAAGTCAAACGGAAGCCATGGACCGACTCGTGGAAGTCCCAACTGCGCTCGCGTTCTTTGTCGGCCTCTATGCCGATGCTGTACCCATCTATGGCTACCGTCGCAAGTCGTACATGGTCCTGGGCATGGCGCTGAGTCTCGTGTGCTTAGCGGTCCTTGGCCTCGGCTGTCTCTTTGCCGAGAGGCTCCAAACGAGCGCCATTGGCAGCGGCTTTAGCTACGTCATGATGCTGCTCATGGGCGGCGTCACCTTCGGCTCCATGATCAACTTTTGTGCCGTCCACACGGCTGTCGTCACGCTCTCGCAGCGCGAAAGCCTCGAAGAACGCGGGGTGTTTCAAGCTGACTACCTGGTAGTCAGAGCAGCCGGCCAGATCTCCGCGCGCTTGCTCGTTTACGTCATCCGGCACGTCGTCCAATCGTACGAGATCTCGTTGCTCTTGGTCGTGCTCATTCCGCTCTCGATCACCACGATCGTTGTCGTCCTGACCGGGCTCCACGAAGTCCCGGCGTACCGCAAACAGAGTCTCCGCTGCAAATGCGAGAGCTACTGGAAACTCACCAAGCAGAAAGCCGTGTGGCGCATCTTGATCGTCGTCGCGAGCTTTGCTTTCTTTTTGAACTTTGGCTTCCCGGTAGTCACACAAGCCCTCCGCCAATGGACCCACACGACCGACCGCAAGTCGGCGCTCCTCAGCAGCAGCGTCAGCGACCTCGTTATGATCCTCACAGTGCTCGTGTGGCGCTGGAAACTCCGCAACATGTTGTGGAAACGCTTCTTTGCCTTAGCTCCAGCCATGACGATTCTCCCGCAAGTGGCGATGGCTGTGCTCATTGTCCCGGCTCTGTGTCGCCATCCAGCCGTGTATATCGTTCTCTCAGGACTCACAGGCGCAGCATCCGGCGTCATGGCGCTCTTGCTGCTTGCGCCTGTGACTGAGATCATTGAAGAAGGATCAGAAGGCGGCGTCGTCGGCCTCGCGCTGTCGTTCAATACAATTTTCAAGATCTTTGTCAGCACGTTGCTCACGACGATCGAGCGCGCGTCGTCGTTCCCATCCAGTGACACCGACAATGACACGACGTCGTATCGATGGTCCATCACGATCTTGAAGCTCATCACGTGGTGCGTCAATAGCTTCGCGTTCGTCTTCATCTTCATTTTGCCGCTTCAGAAACTCGACGCCCAGCTCGTCCGGATGTACGGAGGCTTTACAGACAACGCTGGCGCGCTCACGGCGACGGCGTTCCTCACGTCGCTCGCCTACTGCGTCGCGTACAACATTTATATCTTCAGCGAGGCTATCAATTGAGCCATTGAATTACTACTGTCACTACTACCCGCGCCACGTATAAATGTGTGCGAGAATGCCACGACCGCTGGGACTATTTTTATCAAGTGCAGCGCTGCGTCCAGGCAACGACTTTGACCCAGCGGTGGCTCTGGTATTATCTACTTTTGAACGGCGTATTCCGCGATCTCACAGTTCTTGGATTTGTATTTATAGGACTACGTACCACACCCCGTCTGAGTCTGAGCTGCGATCGATAGTCTCAGCGCTAATAACCATCACTTTACGATCGTCTCTCTCGTTTTATATCGCGAGCAGGTGAATGAATGATTTGTATGCATGCAGGTGGTGCAATGACCGAGGAATCACTTTGTCATAGCTACTGCTCGATGTTTATACTCGAGCAGGAATCGACAACACCACGAAAAGTTTGTCGTGAGAAGCTTGAGCTCTGATTGCAAGCCCGTCATATCGCAATTGCGATGTGCCGTGTACATGACTGCCAAGTCTGAGTTACCTGTGACGTGGTGTAGATATGTATATGCCTGACAGGAAGGACAGGATTCTCCGTCACTCATGCGCGTTTCCGAGTATTGCCATGGTGCTGTGGCTGCTGACGCTGCTGCGTGGATGCTGTGATCAAAACAAGGGACAGGAGTCGTCCCGTATGGTTGCTTTGTGATCGGCATCTCCGTCGCTATGTCAAGTGCTTTGTTACGTATAAGGTTGAGAAGTCGATCGAGTGGGTGCGACAAGGAGCGAAAAGCCGTAGGTGAGTGCTCACGATCACGTACTGCTTGTATGGAACCGACGTAGTGACGTGAGTGATCGAATCTTTTGCGAGACTTTGGTTTGGCATTTTTGGAGTATTTAAGTCGTGATGGAAAGTGAAAGTCAGCACAATGTTGGGGTGGTGGACGAAAATGTTGCTATAATGCCCCTTTACCGAGCAATATGGGGGATGGACTAAGACCTAGGCTGGTTCATTACAGTAGTGTACTGAACGCGGACGTGGGCTTGTGGCTGGAAATAGTTCTGGAAAGCACGACATTGTTCGAACGAACGCAGCCGTAACACTATGTGAATGCTGTAGAGCAGGTTGGAGATATGTGGACCTCTATATTGCAGCCACGAATCAAGACTTTTGAGCTGTCGATGTAAAGCTGGAGATGAGCGTGTTGTGGAATTCACGCTCGCATATTTACAACTTGTGATAGTAAATCTCCGCCATGAAGACTTTGAAACAGCTGTCCATATCGGGGTGTACACGCGTTTAAAGTGGTGTCACTATTTATTCTGGCAAAGTATTGGAATTGCATGAATCGTGGTGCGATTCCATTAAGCCATGTGTTGCGAAATCCGCTCACTAGCTGGCACCTTACAGTAGCATTGGGTTGAAGTATCGTTTGCAGCAAAGGTGGAATGTTCTTGGCATATTTGTGAGATTGAGCCGTTGAGCGACACGCTGTCCATTTCGGCAATATTTTTTGCTGAGAAGGTCGGCGATGCTGGGCACGGCAGTTAGCTTCATGCTGTATCACTTGGTGCTGCATGTATCGTCCACATCTCCTGTGAATATGAGTTTGTATTGCCCACGATAAAGTTGTCCTCTTACCGAGACAAATCTCTTATTAGGCTGCAATTTTTCCGTGGTTTAGCTGGACTCGGCCTTAGCCGCGTTGCCACTCCTCAGAGATCCACTCGCAGGCTTGTGCATCGTTCCTGCAGCGATGGTCATACTCGATACTAACAACTTAGACCAACTTTTCTTTCGCTGGCAAACGAGTGCAGCCAGAAGTGAGGCTAATCCACATATTGAATACCGAGACGAATCTTTACTTTGCTGGAGAGGACCCTCTGCCGGGTTGAGATTGCGGCGACGCTTGCCTGCAATTGTTCGTGCTTGCGATTACTGGTGAGTATGGCGATGTGAGCAAAACTGACGACTGTTGAAGATACACTTGTGCGCGGCGTCAAACCGTTTATCAGCAAACATAAGTGCGTTTGAACCAAGGCATCTTAAGTAATTTTGGAGCCATTCATTATCGATCCAGCTGCCAAATTGACGGAACGGACGGACCTCAAGTTCGATTTGGCGGCAAATAGTATTTGCAAATACACGAAAAGCATGCCAACTGCACCTCCCGCAAATTGACCTTCGTCTTACAGCTTGCCAAAGAATCGATTTTATAGTCGGTCGTCATTATCCTGTAACAGATCAACCGGATAGATCGGAAGAACTGTGGCAACGTGTGGTTTTCAACGTGTCAATTTGAAACAATGTACTTGCCACACGCAAATAAATCCGTGCCACACGTAGTGATATATCGTGTCATTTACGTTGAATGTCTCGTTTGCAGGATCAGACGATTGAATCGTACGACTCGCTGGTTTCCAGTTGATGTGATGCGGGCTTTGTTTGCGAACCAAGACGTCTCGCTTGCTTCTTCGCTAGATCCGCCAAATCTGTAGTTACGTGACTCGAAGATTTATGAACAATGGAAAATTAACGAGCTTCTTTTCGTAACGTTCTTAATGGTATCTAGGTCGACATGGTCAATGAAGTGCTGACACTCTCACATTAATGGAAGACTTGCCAACGGCCACATTTTTCATTCAATGTCTAGTTTGTTCACGATTAGAAGCAAATCGACTCTGACTGCGTGATAGCAGCACGGGACATCATTGACTGCGACACCACGGGCGAGGAGAATGTTGACTGCGACACCACGGGCGAGGAGAATCATTGTTGTTATCACGGTCTCGCTCACAAGGAGAAGAATTTGCTATAAGAGATGCAAGGGAAGGTGGTGGTTACTATTCTCCAGCAACGGGTAGTGTGCGCTGATGACTTGCTCATGCCGCGGTTCTAATGTGGTAGTAGAAGTCTCTACATCAGCATCAGGCGCGATGATGATCTTGACGCGTCTGCATATCGCCGCTGCTCTTTTCGACGCTGGATGGAACTTTCGGTTGAAAGGATCGACATCAGCTTGACATTATTGGATCGAACGAGAGGGACTCGCGGTGTTTCATGGACTTCCGCGGTCTCTGTGTATGTATAGCCAGTCTATGGCGCCTTATGTAAGATGCAAATAGTCATGGATTGGGCTTTCGGAGCCGTAGGTTACTCCAGGGCAATGCAATTAGTGTACATCAATTTATTGACGCAAAATGAGCCGGATGCGATTCGCAGCTGTGCTTGTGAAGCACGGAGTACAATAGGCTGCTTGCAGCTTTCGCGGGTATCGGTGCTGGCTCTAATTGAGAGCTCTGGACAGCAAAAAACTGTGTGGAGAGCGAAGTGATCCGGCCATGCTATTTCTGATGCTTCGGTCGTTACGTGTTCCTGCTACATGCATCACGACTACACAACTCCAGTTCAGATAAGTACCATTTCTACCAGTGCCGTGATCAAGATGGTCAACGGGGCTTTTTGCCATGAACGATACGCTTTCTGCACGAAGATGATGAGCCGATCTTACCGTCAACGCCATCGACCTCAACTGAAAGAGCTGGGATGCTGCCAAACCTTGCCAGGAAACGTGGCATACTGCGTGTTGCTCGTTTTGTTGGTCGACCTGTTATTTGAAAGCCAGCAATCGTGGCTTGTTCAAGGTTTTAATAATGTGATGTGGATCTCATTGACCATGAAGGCTACGGTGCTTGCGTGGACGATCCATGAGTACCGTGTCTGAGAGCAGTGTGACAACTGTAGCTTTTCATCTCGCGATAATGAGATTGGTGAACACAGCGAAGTCCCCGGTACCGCTGTTGATCCGATTGGTCGTCTTGTTTAAGCAGTCATTGCAATCGACACATGTCTGGCCACGTTGGTATCGGCTATCTGGTTTTAAGACGTGGATCTGGTTTCTTTCCAAGTTGTCGATTACAGATGTGCTTCACGTCGCTGCGAGACCTCGTGCTTCATTTTCAAGGACGGAATTTATGCAAAAAGTGTCGATTCAAGCTACAAGTGAAGGCAGTGAATTTAGTTTCTATATCGTGGCAAGCACCCACCTAGAACGAAGAGATCTACATTACATACTTTATGATTGAGTTGCAACACGAATGTATAGGCAACGAAGATCAACACAGCTTCAGATTGCAGTGTTGGTTTCGATAAACATTTAACCAGAAGAGATAACTACAGGAAATTCTGGCTATAGTTATCTTTCGGCTGTGACGTGTCGTACTCGTATACTGACGAATACATACGAGTCGGATATGATGGTCTCGGTTGCTCCAGTTTCTTTACTTCTGCGGCTATAATGGCTTCATCTGCCTGTTTCTTGAGCGTACGAATGGACATGCAGGCTGCAATAATGGTCGACATGAGTATGAGAAGTGCCACAATAACTGAGATCTCCATTGGGGGGCCGTACGTGTGCTGCGTGGCAAAAGTGGTGCTATTGAGACCGCCAGCAAAAGCAAAGGTGCACCGCGGTCCACCCCACGAAGTCGGATACAAGCACGTGCATCGTGATTTCAAGCATTTGCCGGTGACCAGCTTTTGGGTGCCATTGCGATCGATAGTACAGTCACCATCCGTTGTACAAAAAGCTTTGCCCGTCACGTCTTTCCATGGATTGTCTGTATCTTCATACTCTTCCAAGTGGCCTTGAATCCATTCTCTTGTTGGATGACTCTTTGGGTCGCACCCGAGCTGCATGTAATCATCAGGTCCACGATTTCCCTTCGGGTCTTGATACAATCGGATGTAGTCAACTTTCATGAACATTGGGAACTCGTCGCAAATTTTGTTGACCGTCTCATCACTACCGTCACCACGGCATTCGCTTCCAGGATTTGGAGGCACCGCACTCCAAGAACGGGATAATGCCACATTGAAAATAATGGACATTGGCTCCTCGAGCATGAGCTTTTGTGGGTTGTTTTTCTTGGCATTCTGCGGGACAAGCACTAAGGACTCGGCGGTGACTTCAAAAAGAGGCTGACCGGCCAGCATCCAGCGTACGTATCCATTCTGTCCAGTGACCCATTCGATCTGGTAGATAAGGTAGTTTGTGTACACACCGACGTGCACGGGCCAATTTGCTGAGATCGCATCTATTTGGTAATCGAATGGTTCCATGGAGTTTGTTTTCGGGGTCGTTGAGTTGCGGGGTTCAAGGCAGTTCTTGTTTGTGTTATCTGGATCGCACAAGTATGCGCCCGTGTACGAGTTCATGACTGGATAGCACGTGCCGTTTGTATTGATTCCCCAGAAAGTGTTGCCGACACCATCGATCGCCTTCAGGTCACTATTCGTATCAAATGACGCTGGACACGTGCTGGCCGTGCAATTGTTGTCGGTAATGCCAGCTTTGATCGCCGCCTTAATCGTGCTGGCATCCTGTGTTGCTTCGGTTGAAGACAGGCAAAAGTTATTGGCAGCATATCGAAGACCTTGATACCATGATTTGTGACCGCGCTGTTTCGCGTAGTACTTCGTGGGCACGTCGATAAAGTTTGCACCAGGAGTCTTGCAACTATACTTGAAGACGCAGACCATGTCTTGTCCGTCGTGCTTCGGGTCTGCAGGAAAAAGTCGGAAATCGTTCGGCATGCCAGGCGCAACCTGCAATGACGTCGAAATTGCTGCTCCTCCTCCTTCCAAGATATCGATTTCAGGTGCCCCTCGCCCCTGATTCTTGCGGAGACCGTAGCCTGGATCGTCATCACAGGCACTAATGCGTTGGTTCTTCGGGTTAAAGAGCTTCGGCTCGCACTTGTTATAGGAGAATGGCCACATCCGACTCGTCGAAGCTGAGAAAATAGCCCGACCTAGATTGCCCATCATCCATATCCCTGGCCAAGTGGGGTAATATTTTCCGCTTGCTACTCGTCCAGATGGACCTTGAACGAGATCCGGATTTCCAGAATTCTTCGATACCGCGCCTGGCAATTGTGCCCGGACTTCGATAAGTCCACCCTGGTAACAGAATTTATTCCACGACTGGACCATCGCAGCTCGGTAGTAAAACGTCACGTTCTCATAAGCTGGTGGTTTAAGGTACGCATTATACACGGTGAGGTTGGTTTTCTCATCAGCTGCTTCAATGTAAAAGTAGCAGCTCCCGTCTTTGTCGCACTTTGTGGACGTCATGTTGTGCGAATAAATTTCAAGCGCCCCATTAACACCGTCCGGTTTCTCGAGCGATGTCCAAAGGTGATCCTCACCGGGTCGGAAACTGCGTCTGGCAGTATTGAATTCATCACTCATGACAAGTTCCCAAGTCTCGCCTCGAGAGGTTCGGATCCGCTGCGCAGTTTTCGGGGTGGCTGGATCAACCCATGGTTTAATACCTGATTTTGTCGAGTATTCCCTTGCATGGACAAGGCCAGACCATAGAAGTGTTACGAACGACAAGGTGTTGCAACGCATACGAATGTGAGGGAATTCGACTTGACAATTAGGGAAATGGTGTATTTCGATCGTGTCTGCGACTTCGATCGATAGTTATGGACTGAGACGTTCGTTCCCTTGTTTGGTTACGACTTTTGCTACATCTGTATTTGTTGTTGTTCCGTTGCAAGAGGAGCTACGACTACTGTACGCAAATGTTTCGTGCGACGAGGACAGCCCCGTCGTATCTTTATATCATAAGCACTCACTACCGAAAGGTAATAGAGAGGAGGTTGACTGACGATAACAACGGTTTAAACGGTGCGACTACTGACGGAATAAAAAATAACTGCCGTCTTGGTGTCTTTCGGAAACGCCGAACTGCAGAGTACGACGGAGGATGGACGGAAATTGATGTCCCGTTTCGTGCTTATTTTCCTTCGTAATATAAAGTGTGCCAAAATGTCGCTGTGGGGCGCTTTTTCTGTCAGGCAAGTAATAAGGTATAGTATCGTGCATTAGCGGCGACGTTAATGAATAGGGCTACTCCTATTATATCGAGCCAGGGAAGAGCACCGCCTCTATTGACGATCTTCCATCTTTGCAGAAATTTTATTCGGTTTCGTCTTTCTGACTCATTCGCTGGCTGTTCCTTGAATTGCAAAACGCTCACCCGACCCCTACAAGCGGGGACGGCATGCATAGGACGTGGGAAGAATGTTCGGAGTAGAGATTCGTGAAAAGAATGTTCGGAGTCGGTGTTTGTGCAGTAGCGAAGAAGCTGCTCGACGATGTGCGCGCACTCGCTTGGATGACGTGCGATAGAATGTTTGCGATGGTCAAAATCAGTGCCAGGAGTGGCCACATGTAGCTAGAGAGGTATGGCGTGCAGACGCAGGTAGCATTCTCAACAAAGACAACTTCAGTCATGGACACAAAGAGGGGCGACAAGGTCGCCTGTAGAACAGTAGTCTAACGTGCGGTCGCATAAAGCTTATTGATCTTGTAAAGTCTGTCGTTCGATTAGAATAACTCTGACATGAAGCCGTCCATTGAGTAAACCGTTAGACTATGGCGTGCACTTACGTGTACTTTATGATGTATCGACTCGCGCGATATTGTATTCTGCTCTCCCCCTAAATCCTCTGACGCGGTACTTCTAATTTGTGGGGTTGACCTCAACAGTTCCTCTATTGCGTACGATTGTCCGACTTCATCCTTTACAAAACTAAATCGAACCTTCTTACCTGTATAAATAACCTTCACTTCAAAATAAGGCTCGCTAACCAATTAGGGAGCTCGTCCAGATTTCGTATCCCTACATTCCAAGAAACTGCTTCTACAGGTATTTCATTCCTGTCGCGCATCCCGTCCTTTCCGCGTAAAACGGATTCTTACAGACGTCAATCGATTGCAAAAGTGCATCTCTTCCACTAACGCCATCTTGGTATCATGGGGACAGACAGTGAGCGATGCTCGATGTGATTTACAACACGGCTAGTCAATATCAACAAGAGTAATTTGCCCTTGGCTTGGCCTGACCTTGTAAGAGATGCCGATAAGGTGCTGACGGTAGACAAACGCCCGACAACATACTTCATAGCTTCGGACCATCAACCATCTGATCCGACAATCTTACGACACCATGAACCCTTTCCTAATGCTTGACGATGGATGGTCCCATCCGTTTGTCAAGTATAATGAGGTCTGCACACCTCCTTACTCGAAGAATCGTGTTTGTTACACGAGACATCTTCGAGTACCAGCATCGAATACGACCGAAGTCCTCCACTACTTTCTAATCGACCTCTAGAGCTTGCGGTACGCTATTTCTTGCGATAAAGAAAGCTAGATGGATGGCATCGTCGTCAGCATAAATAGAGTCTCGAAGCATATAGCAAATGCAAACCATATCAATTGTTACATCACCAGCCTCGTTAGGGCCATTTTTGTCTTTGCGCTAAAGAATGAAGAAACTTGTTAGGTTACAGCAGTCCTGCACAGAAGAGGGAGACGGTTGCTGCAGCTTTACCATTCGTCTCTTACTTAGGAGTAGGGACTGCTCTGTCAACCGTAATCAGGACAACCGAAATAAAACACGACCTTAAAGCACTCGACACACTCTATTGCACTCGTAAGCAAACATGTCTTCCTGCTCCAGATCTCCAATAATCTGTCATGTGCGACTAGAACAGCCAGTTGCGCCGTATATCGTTCGAGCCGCAAGACCGCCATGTGTAGCTTTGCCTCAAGATCAACGAAGCTGGAACGAGGCGACTTGATCACTCCTTCGTCATTCGTAGTGCGTAAACCTGAAGTGTCTAACAGCATGGACGATCGTGCAGCCTGAACCGAGAAGTCAGTCAGGTCACAGTATCCATCGAGATTTGAGACCAACCTGGTTTCCGAGATGCGTCTCGAACATGGTTCTTTCTTTCGGGGTGGCGGCGCTCCATTGGCACTGGCAAAGCCTCATCCGGCTTTCAAGTGCTGTCTCCTCCTCCTCACATCATCTCCTTCGATCACTGCCCGAAGCACGCACCGTCGCTTCTGCCTAACACCGTGACGAACTACATCCAACGATCGATCTTGACTCATACTGATCATCCGAGAGGAGAGCGATCACTCGTGACGAATAAATGAGATAACAATAGACGTTTCTAGCTCTCGAAGACGAGCGAATGAAGCTCAGTGAACTCAAAGGATCAAGGAACGCAGAGAAGTAACAAACATGAGAACCTACGAGCACAAGTTCCAGTGTCCTAATCGTCTGTCTAAAATCAGTCACGACACAGCCGCGTATACGGACGATACACTTGTTGACTTCATAGTGAGTAAATAACTCGTACCGGACCAAGCCTTAAAAGATCCGGCGAGCTTCCCATCCTGAGTCCAGTGCCGTGAGGCGTGCCACCCTTCCTCCTTAGGTCGCCGGTATCTCATCCCTTCCTGCCCTGTCCATCAGCTCGTCTGAGCTACAGACAACTCAACTCGCTCGCCCCAATGCAAGCGCCAGCGTCACAGCCTCTGGACAATGATAACAGCACCTTGAAGCTGCATCGACCGCGTCGTGCACCGCCGTCTCAAGACCGGCCGTTCACGTGCCCGGTGCCAACCTGTAACGGTCGGTTCCACCGCAAGTTTACACTGCGGGAGCACCTCAAGACGCACACGGGGGAACAACCGCATCAGTGTCCAGTCGAGCGCTGTGGCAAGCGCTTTAGCACGTCAGGGAACTTGGCGCGGCACCGGAAGCTCCACGCCGTGCACAAACTCAATTGCCCGACGCCCCAGTGCTCGCGCGAGTTCACCGACCCGGAAAAGCTCACGCGGCACCTCAAGATCCACCAGGCAGGGACGTCCCACACGTGCACGATCGACGGCTGCAACAAGACGTTCAGCACCTCGGGCAATCTGACGCGCCACTGTCGGACGCGACATCATTGCGTACCGAGGGGTTCCGTTCAAGGTGATGGGGATGCTGCTGCTGATGATGACGGCGTCCCACCTTTGCCCATTACGAGAGACTTCACGTGGGCCGGGAGCCAAGAAAAGGAGCGGCTGCTGCTTCCAGTGAACAACCACTTGAACCGAATGATGCGCGGCCCTGTTGTGCCTGGGGCGATGCTCGTCAAGGCGCCCATGTGGTACACGACGCCGGTCCACGACACGACAATGTCGGTCGGCCACCAGGACAGTCGACTGTCCGACCAGGACGTGCGGGACCTCCTCGACTGTTTATTTGTCAAGACACTCGACCCTGTAGTCGTGGCGGCGGCACCGGTAACAAGCATGGACGGCATCATCCGTAGCGAACCTTTTCTCCGGGGCGCGTACCACCACCCGTAACGAGGGAAAAGCAGCTAGAAGTAGGTAGCTAGAGGCCCAAGGTGGTGTTTTCAATGGACACGTGTGTCGTATACAGTATCCGCCTCCCCCTCCTCCCATCATCCTCAGCATCACCACCGAAGGATGCCTGCTGCCTCTGCCCTTTTTTCCAGTCCTTGATCACGCCCATGCGTCCAGACGCCACCGTACGTGACGTGACGTATCTGATTACTTTCTGCTTTCTGATACCTTCCACGCCCAAGGTCTCACCGCTAGTCGTCACGCTGCCGCGGCGTTTTCACAAGTGAGACCAACCTATCTTCGCCTCCTCAATCTCAATCTCTCTCTCTAATCTCTTTGTGTCGCTCGCGGCAGCAAAGCGCGCTCGACTCGTCCTATTGCCGAGCTTTCTAGCACACGACGCGATGGTCGAAAGCCTGGACGAATTGCTCGCAGCCACGATGGTGATGACCAGCAGTTATCAGGTGCAAACTTCGTAACGCCACAGGCGACATCGACCGTCGTCGACGGACGAACGCCAAGACCGCGCACGACTTGATTGCCGACACGAACAACTAAGACCTCACCCACCTCTTGACGACGCACGTAACCGTCTGTTCGTGCTCTTCGGGCCGAAATTTGTCCGAAGTCGACCGACGCTACGGACGGCATCAAACGTCGACGGCAGCACCCGAGCGTCGTCAAATCCCGCCCATCTTCCGAGAGAAGAGAGAAAAAAACAGTCGAGCTTGTGCGTCGTCTATCCCCTCGGGTGCAGCATTTTCCGGCTGTCGAGGCCGCTCGCACCGTGTGCGAAAAACGCGCGTCGTGCTGCCGCCGTCACGTCGAGCGCGGCCGTAGAAACGCGTTTTTCGCAGCAGTATCCGCGTCAGATGGCTCCGTCAAGCCGCAGCGATTTGCCGTGCATCCAAGCAGGAGCCAATCGCCACGACTGAAAACAACTGAGCTGGCTACTGTGCCGCGTGTCCGAGCCGCAGCAGCGATCGCGCTTGCCATAATCAAGCAAGCATCTGATGTGTCCTGTTTGCACGCGAGTTCCGCGACGACCGGACCTTTGTGCGGCTCGAAATGGTCCGGAGACGAGTCGATGCAGCATGAAAAAAAAACCAGCTGATGGCGAGACACGCCGAGCAGCAGCAGCAGACAGCCGCCAAGGCATGCCGAGCGGAGACGTATTTTTAAACGTACCTGTTCGGTCCCAATCGGGCGAGTCACAACACTGTTGAACTCGCACTTGCGGTCTCACTTGCATCATCCGTTGATCTTCGCCCCGACCGCTCTTGTCGTCGTCGTCATGCAAGCCATGCTGAGCGACAACCTGCGCGACCCGCCGTTCTATCTCCAGCGGAGCACAAGCGCCTCGTCTTCCGGAATTCCTCACCACCACCTGAATCCTCCTCCTCCTCCTCCTCATTTCCACCACCTGCACGACCCCCTCCAGAACACCTACACACCGAGCCACCACAATCACCACCATCACCACCATCACAACCACGACCAGAACGTCCTTAGCATGCCGCTCGTGCCGACCACCCACGCTCCGGTCCATGACAACCCGGACCCGAATCCCGACGAGATCGCTAATTCGGCCCCGGCAGCCGTTCGGCGACCCGGGACGGCCCGTCGGGCCGCGCCGTCCGAAGACCGGCCGTTCGCGTGTCCCGTGCCGAATTGCGGCGGCCGGTTCCACCGCAAGTTCACGCTCCACGAGCACCTGAAGACGCACACGGGGGAACAGCCGCATCAGTGTCCCGTGGCCGAGTGTGGCAAGCGCTTTAGCACGTCGGGGAACCTCGCGCGGCACCGGAAACTCCACGCGATGCGGAAAATCAGCTGTCCGGCCACGCACTGCACGCGCGTGTTTACGAGCCGGGAGAAGCTCGTGCCGCACCTGAAAGTGCACTTGGCACGGACGCCACACACGTGCGACTTTGCCGGGTGCGGCAAAACCTTCAGTACGGCCGGGAATCTCACGCGCCACCGGCGGACGCAGCACCGGGCCGGCCCGGTGTCCCATTCGGACACGACCGGCCCAGTGCTCACGGGTCCGGCCCCGACGCTCCCGCGGCCCAAGTTTGAGTTCCCGGGCCGGAGTGTCCCGCTTCCGACGGGATCGTTGCCGATGCGGGGGCTTTTGTGGCCCTCGCACGCGCCGGTAGAGCCGCACCCGCCCCCGCAGCGCATCCTCGAGTCGGACGTCCAGGATTTGTTCGACTGTTTGTTCCTCGAGAACGCCCAAGCGGCTGCGGCCGCGGCGGCAGCAAATGGTCATCATAATGTTGCGGTGATCCGGGACCGACTGCCGAAGCTCGAGCTGCCAAGGGACAACCGACCTCCTCAATCATCAGTACATCAAGTGCAGCCGTCGTACCTTACGGCCACGTACGAATTCTAGACCATGTCAAGAAGAGAGGAAGAGGGAGGGAGGGATCGACCATCTAAAGCTGTATTGAAAGGCGTCTATTATTCGTAAACTATCAATTGATTCATTCACGTGTGGGCCGTTGACCGATGTTCGTTGCGTCCATTCGATTGCATTATGGTTGGTGTCGGCGGCTTGATCGGGGAAGAAGGAGGAGTTCTTGAGAGGAGCGTACGACGCTTGATAGATTACGGGGGACTTGATGGGAGGTCCCTCTTTTGATCTTTCGGGGTGGCGGCTTGAGCTCGACCGATCAATGAGGTCTGCTCTTCTTGGCAGCTTTGTGCGACCTCTTCTCTCTCTCTCTCGATTCGCAGCGGAACAACGTGCTTCAAGTTCAAAGCGACTTGTACGTGCGACTAAAGCTGCTTGGCAAACATGAATCGATATATTTAACGACGGTGAGTCAGTCGCTCAGTTTTGTTTGCGAGTGCCTTGTCGCAAATCGAGTTTGCACGCAGTTAACGGAGGAGCTTGAGGCAGCGATCGAGATCTGCTGACGAGGCACATCAATCGATCTCTACACTAGCGATGGGAAGGCAAGATCATGATATAAGAACAAGTACGGTAATCAGACGCCGAGTTTTTCAGCGTCTCGACAGCAGATAAAAACGGAGCCACGTAGTGAGTCCTGATCCTAATTGAGAAGAAGAAGAAGAAGAAGAAGAAGAAGAAGAGAAGACTTGCGTCTGCACGGAGGATCTTCCGGGCCATCTCGAACGGGAAGTAATCCAGCAGTCGCCGAGTTGTAGCTAATCGCACTCGCACATGGGAAAAATTCGAGCAAGCGCCTATCTGGTTTGAAAAAAGTGGCGAGCTACCACTGCGAGTCCAGATAGAGCGGAGAGCGGAGTAAAAGCGCCAGCTTTTCACTGGAACGTCGCGTCAATAGCCCCAGCTGACGATGTGCTCGTCGTTGTCGCAGCGTCGACCTTACAGCAGGGAATGCGTCCGTAATCTCACGGTTTCTTCCGTCAGAGCATCGCTCTGTGGTCGATTGAAAAATCTCGTTGCACGGCCGGCTGGCATCCGTAACCTTGAACGATTTGCAAGTGGATCCTCCTCGGGCTATCCGAGGACAACTGCTGGCCGAGAAGTCCGCCCCTATCCTCTCACACTCAAGCAGGGACAGACAGCAAGGAGACGGCAGCTTCAGGTTTTCTTGCATGTGCAACAAGCGCTTGTTGCGGCTACAACACGGACGTTTAGTAGTCAGTAGTCACCCATCCATAGACGAGAGCTACTCACTAGCAGACACACTGAAGGAAGAGACAACTCGTTTGCTTTTCCACCTGAGTGAGTGTGAGTGGTACCTGAACTCGCAAAAAGTAGAGTCGAGGAGCTCTGCAATGGCTGCTACGAAGATCCCAGGCACCCCTGTTGATACGTTTGCACTATCTAAACGTACCATCAACAACGGACTTCTGTCTCCTCTTGTATAGTCCGTCAGCCAGTCCCTTATGACTTGGACGTGTCGAACGTAGCGGATCTGAAGCTTTAAGTACCTCGGGTCGTCATGTCACGAACGACCTCCTCGTCTCGATCCAGATGCCTTGATGTCACTCACGTACGACCGTGCGTGTGTGTCGGTGGTGGTCGCGACACGCGCGTAAACATTGACATTGGACAAGCTCAAAGACAGTGACCGCACCCCCGTCGACGTTGGTAAGAAGATAGAAACAGGTCGATTGTCTCGAAACGGGAAGGACGCGTCGACGACCTGTTGGTTTTGTTGTCAACGAGGGCCGATCGATCGATCGATGCGTGCGCGAACAAGGCCATGGCCGGACGTCATGCGGATCGCCCGAGTCTTTCCACGCGACATGGAGGGACAGGTGATCGCCACGTGAGTCAGTGAGTCAAACAAATGCACATGCCCTACATGGCCTGGACCGAGATACGTTTCTTCTATGTTTTCAGCTGCAGCAGCACATGAGCCACGGCTTGTGCAGCTACAGCTGGTCTTTGTCTCACGTACTCGCTCGCTCGCTCTCTCTCGCTCTCGCTCTCTTTCTTTCCACCTGCTGACGCCGAAGCCGTAGGAATTGCGTAGCGCCCCGCACAGTGAGTGTCTGAATTGCATCTACCTGCCATCAATCTCTTTTCGTCTCGATTGTCGCGTTGACGCTGGTTCAAGGCCCCTTTTGAACCAGCTGCCTCCCCAACCACTACTTGTAGCTGGAAATCTCCCTCGCAGCTGAAGTTGCGCTGCAATGGCATGACAGCGCGTTGCGTCGTACCAGCTGAGATACAAGCGGGCAGAGAGCTGCAAAGCGGACGTAAACAAACCAACCGACCTGACTGACGAGCTCTTGTCTCCTTATTGGAAAGAGCGTACGTCCATAAAGCCAGCTCGCTGATCTTCCACAGCCATTACGTCGTGTAAACACAGCGGTGAGGAACGAACTCGCGAGGATTTTACGTCTCGGCAGGATGCGATTGCTCGAAGAGGCCGAGGCTGGAGCTGGATCGATGTAGACGCCCGTTGTCACGCCGTCGAAGGAGCAATCACTTCGAAAGGTCCACAAGAATGAAGTGCCTGCGCGAAGATGACTTCAACCAAGTTACGTGAGTAACACTCGAGTCCAAGTTTGCAAGAACCTTCAACCTCAATCGCGACACTTGATGCTCTACTCACCACGCTACTGCTCGATTACTTCGTCCCACGTCTAGATCCACTACGAGTCCTGTCCTCTTCGCGTATCAAACATCCTCCTTCAAGCTCACCAGGTCTAGTATAGAGCTGCTCGTCAGCAGCTCCTCTACTGTTACTCGTCGCGTCCACACCCTGGCATTTCCATGAAGATGGTGTCGATCCACGTGGCTTTCGTGAACAGCAAGGACCAAGCCCTTGCTCTGTTCGACCCTCGCCAGCAATCCGTCGTCTGCTTGTTGCGGTTGTTCGTGGCGTTTGATCTCGGTGGACTTGCAGAAAACACTCCAGTGCCTCGTCGCCCTGCAATAGAGACTTGCATGGCGAGATGTACACCTCGAGCAAGCAAGCAAGCGACCGCTACTGCGGCTTCCCTACTCAATCAGACGATTTCAACGTGCGGTCTCTGCACGACAAGCGGCCGATAGCCCGTTCTCGAACATCGAGACCAATCAAGCCGTGGCGGCGCACACGGACGAGACAAGACGAGAAAAACGTGCCAGCCGGTCGGCTGGACAATGCCTCGCGCGCTTGTAGTCACAGCGGACCTCGAGACACCAGCGCCTGTCACTGCTCCAGCCGGCAGCAACGAGCGCGAGCTGAAGTCGCTACTTTGGCTGCGTCCACGCACCTCTCGTGACCTCACTTTCCAACTTGCTTCCTAGCGACCAAAGTGTCTGCTAAGCATCCGCATCAACCTCAACGTCAACTCGTACTTCCACTACAACACTAAGTTCCCCTCCTCCTCCTCCTTTACCATGAGCTCCATCCGGTCTATCATTCATACCCCTCCCGCCATCTCCACCCCAAGGGAGTCAGTGTCTCCCCACGGTCGCGAACGTCCGTTCCACTGCCCCGTACCTTCGTGCCACGGTCGCTTTCAGCGAAAGTTCACGCTCCGAGAACATATGAAGACGCACACGGGCGAAAAGCCGTACCAGTGCTCCATCCTCTCGTGTAGTAAGCGGTTCAGCACGTCGGGCAACTTGGCCCGGCACCGGCGGCTCCATTTGCTCAAGAAACTCGAGTGTCCCGTTGTCGGGTGCACTCGCATCTTTACGAAAGCGGAAAAGCTCGCGCGTCACCTTCAGAACCACCTCGGCAGCGTCGCGCACGTTTGCGTCGTCGATAGTTGCAACAAAACCTTCAGTACGGCGGGGAACCTCACGCGGCATTTGCGGACGCAACATCCGCCCGGCGCTGTCGCTGCCGCGCGGGCGGCGACTTTGCCGCAACTCCGGATTGCGTCAATACGACCGGGTCAAGTACTTGCTACGGAATATGCGGCGTGGTCATCCGACGCGGCCACATCTCCTACGGCTAGTACTACTTCTGCTACCAGTGGTCGGGAGCAGAACCTGAGTGCTACGGAAGCGGCGAACGTCTCGGATCATGAGATCCTTGATGTACTACAGTGTCTCTTTGTTGACGACATGGCAGCGGCAGCTGCTGGGCAGGCAGAAGACCACTACAACCACCATCATCATCAGCAGCAGCATTATCATCACCATGAGCACCAGCCACAGGGGGGACCCTATCGACTTCAGAGTGACCAGCCTGTGCTGATTTACCTCTAACGTGTCGTATCTAGGGTCGACATGACGGGAGGGAGAGATAGAAAGAGAACGAAAGCTGTCTGAGTAGTGTATAAACAAACAACAGAGCGTGATTTTGTATCGGGTATTCTCCAAGTAGTCTTGAACGTATCCTCATAACTAGGGACTGACTCGTGTGGTCTAAAAAACGTACCAACAAGGGGGACGATCTCGGTCGAACGTGTTGCCCACCCCGTCCTCAGTAGTCAATGTAACCTATCAGTGGTACCAGCAGCAACCTTTTGTCGAGTCCGTCGCCGAGTCGACGAGGATAGTAGCAGATGGCTCATCACTGTACGTTAAAGTTGTTGGGCTTTGTGGTCCGTCTAACTTTGAAAGTACGACGCGACGAGCGCTGCGAGAAACGCGCGTGTGACACCTGATCACGAGCGTGTAGTCACCTAAGTCGCAACAGTCTGTTTGCACGTGATAGCAGAGCCAAGTACAAGCTGTTTACGTGGTCATCTTGAACACCAACTTGCTGCCTTTGGCCAGCGATGCAAATAACATCTAGCGATTGCTGATTGGAGCTGCACGGAGCAACGTGTGACTATCATCGTATGAACAAAGAAGAGGTTTGCGGTCAGGCCCCTCCCTATTCGTGAAGGTGAGGCAGTAGATGGCCCGAGGCGTAGTATCTAGTACTCGTATCACGAATCACTTCCGGCGTGATATCGTATTTCTGATAGGAAACCATGTCAGTGTTGTGCTCTCTCTGCTTTGTAGTATCCTCGATTCAATCGAGATTTGAACAATGGTTCGCTGTTTGAACGCGGGTTTCTTGACTACCTCAGGGCAATAGTGGAGTCGTGCTGAAAACCAAGCGATTCATAGCGCGTGGTATGTACTTGTGAGATAAGCTTCTTTCTAAACTTGTCCAAGTCCGTTTTAGGGGATAATTGACAACAAACGCATGGTCCGCACTGCAAACCTCACTCGTTATAGGATGACGAGTGACGACTTTCAAAAGATCGATGCATTAGTTTTGTGTGCATTGCTTGCTATGATAGTCCACTATCTTCACTAGCTGTCGGCATTGTGGGGACAGAGCGTAACTAAGATAGGGGAGCAAGCTCAGGAGCCCGCCCTTTAATATGAGTAATCAGTTCGTAGAACGGAATCAAGTTGCAAATCACTATACAACAGCAGCAGTCACCGAGTAATGAGTAGGATGCTGTTACTGTCTGTAATTACCTAGTCAGTATACTCAGGCAACGCGATCGGCCTTTGCTTATAAGCGTCCAGCCTATGCTTTTGTGATCATTTTCACCTTTGTTTCGATTTTAAGCCAATCCTGTGCGTGTGTCAAAATAGTGACCTTGCCAAAAAAGAGTGAATTTGAATAAACCTGTATACGTATGAGAAGGGGACAGGCTTGATCACACTGTGTGCGGGTAACATACACCTAACCGCATTCTTTACAGACAGACAGATAAGTACCAATTCAAAAGCTCGGCATTCAATCTTGCGCACAGTCACTTATCGCTTCACCCTTCGGGCTCGCATAACATAGTGCATGTGGTACATGTGCTGGCTTCCTGTCGACAACAAGATATTTAGGTCATGTTTCTGACGAATGAAGCAAGAAAATGCAAAGATTTCCCCCTTACTATTTGTACTGTCCTCGTATCATTCTTAACATTGCAGTGCTAGTACCAAACCAATGCACTTTCATCAAAAGTGGGCTTGCGGGATAAATCCAGGACGGCATCTCTTGGACGAAGCCTAACGTGTGATTCTAGCTGTACAAACAAGGAAGTGCGCGGAGATCTGCATAAGTAAGCTTCGTTTAGTGTGCAGAAGAGTATACATCATCGATAATGTCTCCTCGTCAATACCTGCAAGACTGAATTATAGTAGCAGTCGACAGAGACGGTGTCCAATACTCAATTTCCGATTTAATGCGAATATTCTGTGATCGGTCAGGTTGTCTGTGCTGAATTGACTGCAGCTCCCACGAGAAGTTGCGTGCACCACACTGATCCTGTAGAGTGACCCGGATCTTTCCTGTCACGAAGACATGCGTATACCGTATACTATACACGGCACGGTTGGCTGTCAAATCAAGTTTTGGTGGCGCAACATCACACGATCCCAATAATTGCAGTCAACTGTTGACGAAGTTCGCGACACAGTAAGAGCGTCTACAGCTGTCGGTATTACTTAACACTATCCGCCAAATCAAAAATGTTGTTTAGTCATGCTCATAAAAGTGCGCCACAGCAGCGAAATAACTCGGGGATAACTCAAGAAGAATTTTTTTTCGTTATCACGCCTACGTTTTGCAGTTTGCGACACCCGAGATAACTTTGTAGACTGCATGCCATGGGCTCACAAGTTTTGAGACCAATTTTAATCGGCTAAGGATGATTGCATGCCATTGGCCTATGTTGATCGAGAACAACGAACAAGTGATGGAAACACCAAGATTCGGTATGAAACAAATAATCTCGAGTCTGCTTCAAAATCAAAATAAGTTATAACCTAAGCGTGAGCGACAGCAGCAATGAAGATGTTTGTACTCCTGAATGTGGCGTCCAAGTGACGTATTAAACGATAACTATTCCAGCAGTTGCCGCTCAAAGTCGAAGACCCTCGGCTTTATCTCTTCGACAATTCTATTGCTCTCTCTTTTACTTGACCGTTCAACCTGATTTGCAGAACCAGTACCAAAATAATACCAGTGGAGCTTCTCTCACTCTCAACTACAGTATTCTGCGTAGGAGGAACGAGCCAGTTTCTCCACGGATTGAGCCGAGTCGCTGCAGTTCGAGTCACAAAGTTGTTGCCAAGTCAGACACAACCTCAGTTTCCTCCGCCACATCTCCGTCCACGCCAGGATCACCCACGAGGTTCTCCAACTACAGGAGCAAAACCTCATCTGACGAAGAAGAAGCGTGCCACAGCTTCTTCAGCCCATTTGACTACTGAGGAGAGTTGTCGGGTAGCTAAGGCTTGAGTTCATGTCTTGCAAGATCCGGTCTATTGCTCCGATTCCAGTGCGAATTTTCTTCAGAGGATGCTGAAGAATTCGAGACTTAGAACTCCGAATGTAACGGGGCACCCTGAAGCTTGTACTGGTGACAGTACAAGCTACTTATTCTGATGACAGAATAAGGCGGTGCCTCGTAACTTCACGTACACTCGTACGTGCAGAGGAAGACGGTAAGAAGAAGCGAGTACTTGGTTAAAGTAAAAAGTAGAACTGTATTTAGTATAGTTAATGTCTGCAATAAATCACTATTTATCTTCATCTAACTATGTCTAAATACAAATGTGTAAATCAGTTACCTGCTCACCACTCATTGCGTGCGTCTGTCGTGGCGCGTCTTCGTTGGTTGATATAATGGCCTATATCAACCAATTAGGAACTACTAGTAAGTGCTGCAGAATATTCGTCCTTATGACAATATTCTGAGAATATAACTCTTATAGTTATATTCTATTAACAATTTCTTATACATTGTTATGTAACGATTCACCCCGTTACATCACCCCCCCCTTAACCATCAGTCACTTTAGTGACTGATTGACTAAATGGACACTCGTCCTAAATCATTTGGGACAGGGTTTGCACTTGTTGGTCCGCGTCCACTTTCCAGCATTTCATCGCATGGTTAACAAGCCCATGCGATGCGCGAGCAAGGCCGCCGAGAGCGCGTCCGCACGTCTCTGTGCGGACGCCGAAGCAGAAACCACAGCAACTGATGTCTCATCGGTTGCTGAAGCGACCCAGCCTGTGTCACTTGGTGATGCAGGCGCTGGTCATGAAGACACTCATGTCTTCACAGAGTATGAGCTCGGTGTCTCATACTCTCCTGATACGGAAGACGAATCCGTATCGACGGCTATCGAATCCAAGCCGCCTGCCAAGCGTGGAATGGATGATGCTTTGCGTCGTAGCATTTTTGGTTCATCTGATGATTCAGATGAACCATCGCCGAAGCGAAGGCGCTCGAGGTCGCGAGACTCGGGCGCTAATAGTGGTGTCGGTTCTCCTATGGACACCACTTTACAGCGAGGTGCCAGTACTTCTGTCGGCACGTCGCCGGAAGAGCGGGACCGCAATGTTTTGCGTCTCGCTCCCGAGAAGAAGGCATGGATGCCTCCCAAATCCGTCATGGATCACTTGTCGGCGACGACGAGTGATCGTTATCGAACACGATTGTTCGATTCGTCAAGGATCCATCACCTTGACCCCAGCGCGAAAAACTATCGCGCTGAACATGAATTCTTCATCGATGCTTTCTTCAGACATTGATGGTACAGTGGGAATCACAAGCGTGATGGTCCCTCACTACTTCAAGCGTGGAACGCCTACATCCATAACCTTGAGGATGTAGGTCGTGACGCTTGGAACGACAAACTTATCAAAGCTCGTGATAAGTTTGAAAAGCTAACCCCGACAGGTGCACGCTACAAGCTGCATCGTCCGTCTAGGGAGAGTGGGTTACCCTGCCTCTCTTGGGGAGACTCGTGCCCATGTTGTGTGAACAACTCTGCACGAGCACCTAAGGAGGCTTACCTCCTTACTAGCCCTTGGTGGCGCGTACGTATCTCTACTGAGATGTACGAAGGGATTGACAATCTGAAATCCCTTTACGACCGTGCCGGGAAGACTTTCTCCGGCGGTCCTTCTGTGGCACAGGATGTGCCGCGTCGTACTGCTAAACCAGACCCAGTACGTCGATCATCAGTTGGGAGCGGGGCTCCCAAGAATCCCAGGACGGGGGATAGCCGCGCCACCGGACGAGATAACTCGTCCGACGTCCGTTCACGTCGCGGTGGTTCAACAGCTGCTCAACTAGATAGCGCTGGCAACCGCGAGAGTCCTCTAATGGAGGTGGAGGAGGAGGAAAGACGCTCTCCACACGATCATGGGGATCGGTGTGTTCCCGTGAGCTTCTTTGATCGCATAACGCAAGGGTTACGCGGTGATCTCTAACATGAGCGGGACAGGCGTCTCCAAATGGCGGACACTGCCTCGAAGCATCGAGATGAGTTTGCCTGTGCTCAGCTTGATAACGAGAGATCTCTGACATCTCTTCGTGACGAGCTAAGGGTAGCTCGTGGGATTGTTGATCGGTCTCGGGATCAGATAGCTGCTCTTCAGACCCTTGTTGATGCCCACCATCGGGAGCACAAGGCTCTCTGCGAGATGCTTGAGCGCAAGGGCGTTCTTCATCGGAAAAAGCAGCGTACTGATGGTACGGCTTAAGCCGACCAACGTAAAACGTGGGATGCGTTCGCATCTTACGTGGCAACTCGATCGTGTATGCATTGCCCAGGCGGTGCAAAACACAAAATGGGCCGATGTACTTGGGTAGAAGTTTACTACTATTCAAGTTAGTCACTTCATGCTTTGGTAGGTTAACCGTAGACAGTAGGTATCAGTCACATTGATTAAAAAAAGAGTGTTTGCCCTTCCATTCTTGTCAGCGCTTTGCTTTTGCTTATCCACCGCTTCGGCTATGGAGTCTTGCACAAAACGGACTACCGTTTCACGAGCCAGTATAAACTCATCTGATGACTCGTTGGCTTCAGTGCGCTGTGGGCACACTGCAGCAACATCGGCCTTTTCTTCAGTGAGGGCTTCCGCACTCTCACTGGCATCATCTTCTTCGATATCGATGTTATCGATATCGGCATCAAACGCAATGACCTCTTCGTCAGAGCGTGATGAGCGTAAACCAAATCGGCTTTTGCTCGCGCGAGTCCCTCCCCCCCTTAAACCAGAGTTACACTCTAGTAAGGTGGGTACACGCGGATGGCGCAAGCCATTCACGTAAAACGGTGTATGTGTCGTAGACTCATGCACCGAGTTGTTAATGGCAAACTCTACCATTGGCAAGAACTCACTCCAAATCTTAAAGGAGTGTACGTATCCTCGAAGTATCTCTTCAAGGACACGATTGGCACGTTCCGTCTGACCATCTGACTCTGGATGATCAGATGTAGACATCTTCAAGCGCGTTCCGAGTGATTTGAACACGGAACGCCAGAAATCAGCAGTGAATCGTGGATCTCTGTCTGATACGAGTTCACGGGGCAACCCATGAAGTCGGAAGATGGTGTCAATAAAGACACAAGCACAGCCACTTGCCGTGATTGACTCTGGTACAGCCACAAGGTGTTCCATTTTGCCGAATCTGTCAACAAATACGAGAATACCCGTATTCCCGCGTGCGTCTTCGGGTAACCCGAAGACGAAATCCATTGAGATGGATTCCCAGCACTCAGCCGGAACCGGTAGAGGCTGTAAAGGTGCACGCAGTGAAGGACTTGACTTCACTCGTTGACAGACTTCGCATGCGCGAACGTATTTGCGCACAAACTGATCCTGGCGGGGCCAGTAAAATTCTCGACTCACTGTGAGATATGTCTTCTCTCGGCCACGATGTTCTCCTATAGGAGCATCGTGATACTCGAACATGATCCGCAAACGCAGATCAGTATCATCTGGGATGACAACACGTGGTTTGTCACCAGAAAAGGCTGTATAATACAGTAACCCGTTGCGAGTAGTGTATAGATCTGATGCAGATCGATACGCAGACGACAATCGTTTCATCGATTCTCGAGATGGTTGGGAGAGATGTGTCAACAACTTCACAATCTCACCATCTTGGGCGTATGCCCGCCTCACATCATCATACAACGTTGTAGATGGGACTGAGGACGTCATAACCGCAACAGTGACTGTCTCACTGTTGGGTTTCACGACTGTTTCAAAGTCGGGACGACGTGAGAGTGCATCAGCGACGACATTAAGTCGTCCTGGTTTGTACTCGACCGTAAAGTTGTATTCCGCAAAGAATGACAACCACCGCGCCATTCGTTGTGAAAGGTGCGGGCTGTTCACTGCCGTGCGTAATGACGCATGGTCAGTGTAAACAATGAAGGGTCTATCTCCTAATAGATAGACTCTGAACTTTGCGAGTGCATACTTCATGGCAAGGAGTTCCTTGTCATGCACTGGATAGTTCCGCTCAGCTGGTTGCAGCTGACGCGACTGATAGCAGACGACGCGTTCAACGCCTTCAAGGTCGTACTGCATTAATGCACAGCCGATTGCGAAATCGCTGGCATCACAGACCACATGAAATGGCCTGTCCTGATCGGCTATTGCTAGGACTGGGGATTGTATCAAGCTCTGCTTGATACCCTCAAAGGAGCGTTGACATTCAGCGTTCCATAACCACCTCTCGTTCTTTTTCAACAAACGAGAGAGGTGTACAGTCATCTCGGCGTAATTGCGTGAATACTTATGCAAATACGCCGCTAGCCCAAGGAATTTTCGAAGAGCTTTGACATCAACCGGCACAGGCCAGTCGGTGATCGCCTTGATCTTTTCGGGATCAGGAGGTACACCGTTCTTACCAACGATGCACCCAAGAGGTGGTATTTCGCTTGCTGCAAATATACACTTCTTGAGGTTAGCATACAATTGATGCTTTCGCATGATTGTAAGAACCTGTCGGACGTGGTACCTGTGAACCTCAACGTCCGACTTTCCATCCATAGCTCGACTATGGATGAATACGTCATCGAAATAACTCGGCGCGAATTCTCGTACTGGTCTCAACAGATGTGATACACATCTGTTGAACGTGGCAGGGCATTACTAAGCCCTTGTGACATTACTAGCCATTCCCGGAGCATGCCTCTAGGCGTGCTAACTGCGGTATAGGGTATATCCCGTTCCCGCATAAGGATTTGATAGAAGCCATCCATCAAATCCATGGACGAAAAGATGGTACTCTTTGACATACCATCAATGATTACGTCCTTCCTCGGTATCGGCGTCTAAGCCGGTACCGTTGCAGCGTTCAATTTGTTGAACGCGTGCACTATCCGCCACCCTCCTGTTGCTTTTCGCACACAGAAGGTCGGAGAGCTATGTGGGGAAGTTGATTTCCTCACATGGCCCGCAGCTAAACGATCGGCAAAGAACTTGTCGATCGCAAGTACTTGTTCACGAGGCAGTGGCCACTGCTTCATGACACAGTACTTCGAGCCTGGTTTAAGCTCGACCTCGTGCCGAATACCTTTATCCTTCGGTAATTCGCACGGAACAGTTTCAGGGAATACATCCTTGAATTCAACAAAATCTTCATAGAGAAGATTTGTCTTGAGCGATTCCCACGATTGGGACTCATATCGCTCAATTCGTGTCTTTTCATCTAGGACACTCTCGTCCATAGATGAACTACTGAGAACTCTCTCGTTCTCAGTAAACACTGTTGCTGACCTTATGTCGGTTACACACTCGTCGTCAGCGACGAGTACGCAGATCTGCTTGACTTTGCCACTACGCAGATCACGCAAGAACCTTTTATGTTCGAGCGTTGGCAACTGAGTGATCTCCGAAGTTAACTTCGGAGGCGAAATCAGATCAAGTGTATAAGCGCCTACACTTGATCCGTTATTGACTATGACATTCAATGTCTCTGTCAGTTCCTGGGGACTTATTCCCTCAGGCCTCGAAGGACTTATTCCTTCGGCTTCCCGGGGACTTATTCCCGCGGGTTTCGGGGAACTTATTTCCGCCGTATTTATAATATCGGGATATATTCCCTTAACTTCCTCTAGCTGGGGTTGCGCAACCACAGCGAGATCCTCTACGAAAGACTCTCCAGTTGATCTAGGATTATCGTTTCGATTAACCTGAGCGATCTATTGTTTCTCTTCTAGATGTTCCCCGCTAGGGATTCATCTTTGTCCCAGTCCACCCGACTCATTCGAGTGGTGGACCTTCGGCGCAGCCTGTGTTTCCTCACAGCCGCCGGAACTTTGCTCCGAAGTGTAACCGTTTGGTACACTAAGGTTTTGTGCAGTCGTAATAACGACCGTACCACAAGTGAGGCCATCGCACTCACTCGTAGTACATCCACACGCTTGTGGACGCTCCAAAACGTTCATCAGATGGCCATCTGATGAACAAGCGTCAGGCATCGTTACTGTCCGATGTTGCCAGTTTACCCGTGGTTCGTACCTTCTGAGCCACGGTATTCCAAGGATGACATCAAATTTGTCATCCAAATCCAATACGATAAAGTCATCGTCATATTGGGTATCTTCTAGCGTGTAGTGGATCTTCACTATACGCTTCATGACGGTTACGGATGCGCCTGTCGCAAGACGTACCGTCATCCTCGTAGGAGGTGTGTCACATTCACTGAATTTAAAGTGACCATCTTCTAGCGATTGGCGTCGCACAAAATTGTTGGACGCCCCACAATCGACTAGAGCTCGAAGGGACAACTTATTCGTCACTTCGAGTTTCAAGGTAATGATTGAGACTTCATTACCTAGAGCAGCAACGCACAACGTTTGTGTGTTGGGAGCAACCTTCATCAAGAGGCCTACAAATTCTCTTGACGTTGCTAGACCAGTAGGGTGCTCCGCACCTACTGATCCTGTCCGTTTTTTGACGGTCCATCCCGTTGTTGCGTCTTTGCACCAACTGCGGACCCTCGTCCTTGCCCCTTTCTCATGGGTGGACGGTCACTACGCCCAGTGTCGCGAGACACTGGACGAGGGGCACTACACTCGTAAGCGTATTGTCCTGTCTTTTGACATCTGTTGCATCTCTGCAACTTCTTGTAGCCTGTAGAGCGAGCCTTCTCGCTCTCTACATAACAGAGTTCCATCGGCTCTGGACCTCCGTTGTCAAATCGTCTCGGTTGACGATATGACGTCGAGCTGGCGCGAGCCTGTCTCAGACTGAAGTCTTCCTGCTCCGCAATGAAAATAGCTTGTTCTAGTGAATCTAGTTCAAGCCGGAACAGGTGAGTCTTGACGGGACCATCCGCAAGACCCTGCATGAACACCGAAACCAACGTGTGTTCATCCACCGGATTGGAACTTATACAACTCGTGAGATGTTGTATATGTTGAGCGTAAGCGTGCACATCACGCTTACCCTGATTGAGCTTCAAGAGT